AAAAAAAAAGGCCTTTGACGGTGGCATCTTAACAAATCAGTGGAGCGAACTTCCTCAGTCAAAAACTAATAATACCATCTCAGCTTTTGTCCTAATCAGTCCAACTGACCCCTTACTGAATAGAAAAAACAATTGCTGCTACAGTTGGTAAATTAAATGTTTTGGTAGTACTGTTAATGAAAAAATGACATATGTAACCAGTGAAGAATATAGATTTTTTACTTCTGCTTTTTGCTATCCCGTTGTTTTAATTTGACATTCATAATAAAGTTGTCAAAAATTCTTTCCTCTTTTTTACATAGTCATTCTCCGTCCAGAAGTCCAGAACAGTGTTTAATTTATATTAGAAGTAAAGAAAGAAACTATTTGACCAATGAAATAGCATATGACATAAATACTCAATTTCCATCTACCACGAAAAATACAATTCCAAAAATGCTTTGAACCAAAGTTTGAGTTCCAATTCAATCGTGCAGAAAAACGGTGACGGGCCATCTCATTGCCTGTGTAATTAGCTAAATTTTAGTATTTAACGACCGTCTTTGAGTGAAATAACTACATGGTTTTCCATACCAAATTTGTCGGTGTTTTTAGCTTTGCTCATTTAAACCAAGGTTTTCCTGTGACGGATAGACAAATGAAAGAGGGTAGTGAAAGAGAATAAAGACAACACTTGGAGTAAGTTCTAAGCGAAAGAGTGGAAATGGTCCTCCTAGTCATTTTTAAAAATATTATTTCTAAACCGGATTTCACTAGAAAAAAACAATTTTCTTGATTGGTTTTTGCAGGATGACATGATCTCCTCCAAAAGTTTGAAGGTTGTTGATTATCCTGTTTAAAAAATGGTTAGAATAAATGAAATAAAAAAAAAGAAGTAAAGAAAAAAAAAGCAAGAAAAAAATTTCCGTTACCTTCTTACCCAATGCTTTTGTCATTTCTATGACCATTTAGTTGGTTAGTGTTGGCTAGTTGGTCAAAATACGGATCCGCAAATGTAAGTGCTACGATTTTATGTTTATGCCTCAGTTTACAGCCGTTACTGTAGCAGATCATAAAAATAGAATAGAAGTGTAGATAAAGACAAAAAAAAAAGTGTAGCCAAATTGAGTAAATATTAATTTGGCAATAAAAAAGAAAGATTTTTCTCGACACTGTTTTACGTGGTCAAACTAAACAAGATATTTACAAGAAAATCGGGGAAAAACACTTTGTACCCTCCTCCAAAAAAAGAAGGACAAAAATTATTATAAGATTATAGCATTTTTGTGCTGTTTTTGTATTTATGACTCTTTTCATACCTTTTTTTTGCAAGAGCGAAGGGGAAGGGAAGGAGGAGTTCACACATTTGTGATCAACACAAATTTAACTCTTATTCAATAAATTTTATTTTTGTTCTGACAGTGTTGAAACATTAAAACAGTTCATCACATAAAAGCAACGTTGATCCAGTAACCAGTTTCGGTTTGCTAACTGATACGTACAATAATCTGGGGATTTATCGGCTACACTCTATCAAAAAGTTTTCTCGGTTTTGTTCAATAGAAAGCAAAAATCATGTAGATTATAACCTTAAAGATGATCGAAAATTTTAAATAGCCGACCTGTGCAGAAACTTAAATATTGGGATGGGGCCATAGATTTTTTCTTGTAAAAAGGAATATTCAAAAGTCCACACATACACACATGCATACACACATACATATATACACATGCACATACATCGACATACACACAGCAGATATTTGATGTACCGTCACGCGCATTAAAATCATCTCATCGCCAAAAAATTTTTCTGCGTCATTCTAAAATATATATCCACTTACACTTGCACCCAAATACATTAATACATCACATACATACATACGTACATGCACACAAATCAGAAATTGTTTCAGTACATCTTCGTTATTCGTCAGTGATCAGCACCTTACTAAGTGCGTTGAACATTGTCGTCTTCGTCGTCGTCGCTGCTGTCGTCGTTATCGTTGTTGCCGCAACCGCTACTGCCGCTGGTATTACTGTGGTTGCCATTATCGCTGCCGTATTCCCACCCAGCGACCAATTCGTGTGTCGCCATTACCGCTGTTGTCATCATTGTCGCTAGCGCTGCTGCTGCTACAATTTTTTTTCTAATTTTTTGCTTCTTCTGGTGTTATTTGCTGGCGTCGTCACTATTCTGAAAATTTATCTCCTATCGCTCGCTGTGTTGGTGTCGCAACAACCACCAGCAAAAGAAGGGACTGTTTTGTTTCGCTGAGAAATCACCATCATTGTTCTAAACGTATATTTCGATGACCGCTTGTCCCTTGGAAGAGAAAATAAACACAATTTGGATTGGTATTTTGTTGCACTAGAAGACAACAAAAGCCTCCCACTCCTGTTTTTTTTCGAAAAATTTCTGTTTTCATTTTTTTCTTTTTTCGCATATGAATGAAAATTTACGAAGACCATGTGCAATGCTTCAAACAAACCTACAACGGCATTTCTTATTTTTTGATAAATTTCGATCGTTTACTGTATTCTTCCTCTGCTTTATACTTATTGGATCTCATAACTGTTTTATTGTCAGTGCGGCAGATACAAATTATCAACTAAGATATAATTTTAAAAGATATCATAGTTCTTCTGGTGGAACTACTCAACATATTTTTACTAAATCTCGTTCTCATTTATTAGATAAATCTAGTCATCCATTATCTAATGTGTCTGCTGAATCTGTAGCTAATTTATCCCTGACTACTCAAACAGTACCTACCGTTAGGGATTTTAGTACTGACTCTAAGGGTGACAGTTCAGCAAGTGGAAGAAGTCGAAGCCTTCAGGTGCAGTTAGATGCTTCTTCCAGGACCAATCACGACAGGTCTGAAAACATATCACCTAATTATAGTGCCTCCTCAGATTCCAACATTTCGTCTCCAAAATTTGTACCTTATGAACAGCCAAACGGGATACCGTACCTCTCTAAAGCAAACTCTGCTGGTCGACGTTTTCTATCCTTGTTAAAACGAGAAGATCAATCCAAACAGTTGCAGCAGGAGCTGCAGAATTCTCCGGATGCTGGAAATGAAAAGCGGTATAACAAGCGTCATCCTGATAAAATTAACAGTGATCCTACGCCGCAATCAGCTTCTCATGGATGTTTGGATGGGAAATGTCAAGTAAAAAAGTCATCGGCAAAATTTTCAACTGTAGATGACAGTAATAAATCACCACCTTTAGTAATTATTAGCTCGGACTATGGTGGTGAAACTCATGCTGAAGCTTTACCAAACGTTGGCGTATCCGGGGCTTTTAGGGGGTCTACTAGTGTCAACAGTTATAACAGTGCAGATGCTAGAGGCTCTCGTCCCTATGCATCATCACGATATGGTGATCGGCCGTACGGTTTACGCCAGCCTTACCGTACCTATAATAGGAATCGGTATTCCGATCAGTTTCGAGGAAGAACTGGTGGAGTGCAGTACGAGTCTGCTGCAACAACATCAGAAAAGTCATATTCAGATGATGCAGCTATTGGCTCTTCCTCTACTTTAGCGGAATGGAAGTCAAAAATAAGAGGTAAATCAGATGCAACTGTTCAACCTTCATCAGTGCTGTCATCATCTCGTCAGGTTGCCTCTTCGGGTCGTCGTAAATGCATTTCTTCTGCACTAAATGGTCAAAAGATCGCTAATTCTGGTAATTCAGAAAGTGATACAGTTATTTGCAGTGATACTGATACAGTTTCTGACAAATCTTCCGCCACTGTTTCTGAATATACACGTGAAGGAAATCTGGAGAGTAAGGTGAGCTAAATATAAAAGTATTTGGATTTTTGTCATTTTTTGAAAACTGTCTCTGCTGAAAATACACTTACTCATTTTCTAAAAATTTACCAAATAAGCATACTGCTTTTTCAATTAGTGTTAGTTGTTGATAATGTTTCATAGTGTTCGAAGTGTTAGGAATGATGTTTTTTCGCCGTCAAGGGTTGTTCAATAAAACCCGTTTTAAATTCACAGAAGAAAAAATTCGTTTTTTATTCTTTTTCCTCTTTTTTTAATCTTCGTTTTTTCCACATATTATTTCGCCTTATATTTATCTCGAAATTTATTCTTTAACTTGTCGAGTTTTTTTAAACTTTAGTTTTTTGTACTTTTATGGAAATAAGGAAAAAAAGGAGGAATACTACGAAAACATTTTAATGAAATTTTTAAAGCACTTGCTCTTGTGATTTTCTTTCTTTTTTGAAGTATAATCTTCCAAAAAAATTTTTATTGTTATCGTTAGTGGAAACTAGAAAAATGCTTTAAGTTCCTTTGCATCTTTTCCTTACCCCTCTTCTTAATCGTCTTCCCGTCCACTTTTTTCTCTTTTTTCTCACCTCTATCTACTAAAGACGTCAATAGGGATAATCTGGAGCCTTGAAACTTGAAGAACTTTCTTCTGTTTCTTGGTCTCTGTTTTACATTAGTAATTTGACAATAGGTATTTTTTGCTTTGATTTAAATATGCGTTCTCCAACCAGAAAATTCGGTAAGTTGATTTTGGGGGGACAGTGTGGTGCGTTGCCTGTTACTCGCCGTGCAGTTGAGACGCTTAGACGCTCCAAAACGCTTAGATAGCTGGAATACGGAAGGGCGAGGAGGATACCCATGTGGGCTGTGAAATGGGATAAGTTTTGCAAGGCTTTACCTTTCCCTGCAGTTCTTCTTCACTTTCAAGGGAAAATTGAATTTTTTGTAAGTGAGGAAACATTTAAGGAGTGGAAAAATTCGATAATTTGATTTGAGTTGAACAAACTGTCTTATCAGTACCAAAATGTTCCTGCTACGCAGGATATTCCTTGGAGCACGGTTTCATTTACCAAAATAACACTTAGCTAAGCAGAAAAGATGGCTTTCATTTTGAGGAGTAAACTTTAGAGTGTGTGAAGCCAGATTAAGGTTAAGGCCTTTGCTTAATTTCTTGTACCTTACTTTAGGCTTCTGGGTCTTAGTTGAAATTACTGTGTTTTAGAAGAGTACAGTACTGACAGAGATTGGCGGAAAAAGCTGTTGAAAAGTATTTGAAAGCCACATATTAAAGCAGCCATAACAACAAGAAAACTGGGCACTGTTGTTTTTTACAACTTTTTTTTTGATTGTTTATCGGACATAAAATTTTCACAATATTTATAAAAATGATCGTTTTACAAGTTTTGGAAGATAAAAAAAGAAGAGCAAATTTTAAATGTTGTTGTTTGTAAATAATAAATTTTTTAAAAGGTAGAAAAAAATTTTTTTCACATTTAGAGTTGAAGTTCTTTTTTTTGGATATATGTCGATCGCAAAATGGGGTTTTTTGTTATTTTTGTTGAGAATGTTTCTTCGTTCATTCATTCCTTTATTCAGCTCTTCATTCATTCAGTCATTCATTCATCTATTCATTTACCAAATCGTTCAGTTCAGTTCAGCTCAGTTCAGTTCAGTCTTGTTCATCCAATTAAGTTCCGTATGACACATATTGATTAATATTGATTAAGAAAACAACGAAATAAAAATCTATGGTTTTAACGGACCACTTTTAACGGGCTCGAAAAGAAATGTTTGTTAGGTGAAAAAAAAAAGAGAAGTTTTTGGGAGAAACACACGAAAAAAGCGAAGAAAAGGGGGAAGAGGGAAAAAAACCGGGGATAGAGAAGGATAGGGGGGGGGGCGAGGGGACGGACTGGATAGAGATTAATTTCAGAAGAAAAAAATTAAAGATTTGAAACGATGATAAAAATTTATTCCTTAATAATAACAAAAACAACAGCTTTATAGTAAGAATAGGCAAAACAATAACGGATAAGAAAGAATGATGAAAAAACAGTGAAAGAGTCTTTGTTTGATCAGTTTTATGGATAATTTTGTTTTCCTAGTCCTCTAATCCGGCAAAAAAAAAATGTGCTTAAGAAAAAACGACACTTTTCCGGACATTCATTGTTGTCGAATCTTTTGTGAACTTATCTGAAAAACAAAAATTTTGCGGAATACATTTATATTACAACAAAAGCAAGAAATGATTCCTCAACTAGGCTTTAGAACCTGTATCTAGACTACTCGATAGACTGAAAAGGTCCTTTGGTTTGATTTAATCGTAGCGCAAAATTTATCATTTTACTTCATTTATCAATAAAGCATTTTGAGCACAAACTTTTTATAGTTAAACTAATGCTACCTTGATGAACATCATCAATGGATAGATGAACTGAGAACACAACAGCGACCCTTACACACCGATGACGGCAGGCAGAATCTAGATTTTTTACTTTGATATTACCTACGCACATTTGACGCAATTAACAGCGCTATTATCGTTTCGATTCTCAGACATATTTGTTTGATCATTTTGTTTTTTCACTTTTTTTGGTTGTTTATTGTGATGAAACATTTTCGGAATTTTCTTCTTTTGTCTTTTACTGGCAGTTTATGAATAAAGAAATTAGTTGTGAGAAATTTTTTTATTTATCTATTTTTCATTTTATTTTTTTAGCATTATTTTCTTTGAAAATGAAAGAAAAAATAAACAAATTATTTCTGGCGACATTTCATTTCATTTTTTTTTTTTTGTTTTCTTCGTTTGTTTTATTTTTTTACAAAAGAAGAATAAAGTTTGTTTATAGCAACTGAACAAGTATGTCTGTACGGTTTGCTTTACAGGATTTTTCAAGCCTGAATAAAATAGTTTAAAATTTTATTGAGATTTTTTTGCTGCATGAAAATTATAAGAATAACAAAAAAAAAAGTTTCTTTTTCTTCGTCGTTGATGCTATAGTTGTTTAGCGTTTGCATCCGATTAGATACAAGTCACAGAAAAATTTTTGTTTTTGTTTTATTCCTTATTTATTCTTTTTTTTTTCTCTTCCTCGTGCCTTGTTTTTTGATTGACGGCAATTGATACAATCTTGAAGAATTTTTATTCATGACTATATTTTTTGCCAGAAATCAGAAATTTTGCTAGGGCCGCAGTGGAAGCGAACAGTTTGGAGGCGAAGCAAGGGGGAGAAGGAAGAACCATTTGGTTTTCATACGCCGATATGTTGGCCGTCTGAAATCAAAGTCATAATTCGCTTGACCTCTCCTTAACAGTTTTTGATCCTTCTGTTCTTCTTCTTCTTCTTCTTCTTCTTCTTCTTCTTCTTCGCCTTCGTCGTCTTCTTCTTCTTCTTCCTCTTTCTCTTCTTCTTCTTCCTCTTCCTCTTCTTCGTCTTCCTCTTCTTTCCCTGGTTCTTGTTCTTCTTTAGTTTTTATCTTTTCATTCTTCTCTTTCTGCAGGCGGGCAGCATCATCATCATCGTCATCATTTTCGTCATCGTCATCGTTATCATCACCATCACCATCTTTTTTTTTT